CTGTTGAGGTTGGCAACGAGATGTTTGAGAGGAGGGTTAATATCAGAGTTAAGTGTTCTATGTATGTAATAGGTGCAGTAATAAGTATGTATGTTTGTATGGTGAGTAGGTTTAGTGTTTTGAATATTGGTGGAGTGTGCTGCCTGTAGTGGGAATTTGTTATCATTCTGACTGCTATAGAGTTGATATTAGGGAAATATATTTAAGTATTTTGTCGTGCCTGGAATTCTACTGGAACATATTACAGTGGACCCCCGGCATATGATGGCATCGGCATACGTTAAATCCGGCATACGATACATTTTAACATAAAAATTTTTGCCTCGCCACACGTTAAAAGCCCACCACACGCGATTCATCTGGGATGCATTCCACATGTGTCCTCAGCTGCCCCGTGCATGCCAGTGTTTACAAGCCAGCCAGTGAAGTCACATCCACGCATACAATCAGTACATTTCATATTATCACAGCGTTTTTAGTGATTGTACCTGCAAAATAAGTCACCATGGGCCCCAAGAAAGCTTCTAGTGCCAAACGTGTGGTAAAAAAGGTGAAAATTACTATGGAAATGAAAGAGAGAATTGCTAAGTACGAAAGTGGAGTGCGTGTCTTGGAGCTGGCCAGGTGGTATACCAAACCCCAATCAACAAAATGGCAATCAAGGAAGCTGTTCTTGCAAAAGGTGCAAGTTTGTTTTCGAAACAGAGATTGCAGGTACTCGAAGATGTTGAGAGACTGTTATTGGTGCGGATAAACGAAAAACAGATAGCAGGAGATACCATCTCTTAAGCAATCATATGTAAAAAGGGTGGGAAATACGTACTATCATACCACGGTCAGCTGTTGCTGCACCACAGTCAGCTGCTGCTGCACCACTGTCAGCTGTTGCTGCAGCACAGTCAGCTGTTGCTGAACCACAGTGAGCTGCTGTTGCACCACGGTCAGCTGCTGCTGCACCACAGTCAGCTGCTGCTATACCACCGTCCACTGTACAGTGGACCCCCGGTATTCGATATTAATTCGTTCCTGAGAGCTCATCGAATATCGAAAATATCGAAAAGCGAATCAATTTTCCTCATAAGAAATAATGAAAATCAAATTAATCTGTGCAAGACACCCAAAAGTATGAAAAAAAAAATTTTACCACATGAAATATTAAGTTTAATGCAATAGAATAATTACAATAACAACAATAACAATAGAATAATTGACACTTACCTTTAATGAAGATCTGGTGATGATTGATGGGATGGGAGGAGGGGAGAGGTGTTAGTGTTTAGAAGGGGAATCCCCTTCCAAGTCCTTTTCTGGGGTTACTTCCCTTCTTTTTTTAATGCCACTAGGACCAGCTTGAGAGTCACTGGACTTCTGTTGCACAACATATCTGTTCATAGAGGCCTGTACCTCCCGTTCCTCTATGACATTCCTAAAGTGTTTCACAACATTGTCAGTGTAACAGTCACCAGCACGGCTTGCAATAGCTGTGTCAGAGTGATTTTCATCCATAAAGGTTTGCACTTTAAGCCACATTGCACATATTTCCTTAATCTTTGAAGTAGGTAACTTCTTCAATTTCTCTCTCCCCTCCTCCGAAGCAGTTTCCTCAGGTGTGGCCTCTTGCTGTTGAAGATGATCTAGCAGCTCATCAGTGGTTAGTTCTTCATTGTCCTCCTCCACCAACTCTTCCACATCCTCCCCACTAACCTCCAACCCCAAGGACTTCCCCAATGCCACAATGGATTCCTCACCTGGCATAGGCTTCTCAGGGTTAGCCTCAAATCCTTCAAAATCCCTTTTGTCTACACATTCTGGCCATAGTTTTTTTCAAGCAGAGTTCAAGGTCCTCTTAGTCACTCCCTCCCAAGCCTTACCTATAAGGTTTATACAATTGAGGATATTAAAGTGATCCTTCCAAAACTCTTTCAGAGTCAGTTGAGTTTCTGAGGTCACTACAAAGCACCTTTCAAACATAGCTTTTGTGTACAGTTTCTTGAAGTTTGCAATGACCTGCTGGTCCATGGGCTGCAGGAGAGGAGTGGTATTAGGAGGCAAAAACTTGACCTTATTGAAGCTCATGTCCCCAGAAAGTTGCTCTGCCAAGTCTGTAGGATGACCAGGGGCATTGTCTAATACCAGGAGGCACTTAAGGTCTAATTTCTTTTCAATTAGGTCATTTTTCACAGTGGGGGCAAATGCATGGTGTAACCAGTCATAGAAAAAGTCCCTAGTGACCCATGCCTTACTGTTTGCCCTCCATAGTACACACAAATTAGCCTTGAGGACATTGTTTTTCCTGAACACTGTGGGAGTTTCAGAGTGATACACCAATAAAGGCTTCACTTTGCAATCACCACTAGCATTGGCACACATCAACAGAGTAAGCCTGTCTTTCATAGGCTTATGTCCTGGGAGTGCCTTTTCCTCCTGAGTAGTGTAGGTCCTGCTTGGCATTTTCTTCCAAAACAGGCCTGTTTCGTCACAATTAAACACTTGTTCAGGCTTAAATTCTTCACTGTCTGTGTAATCCTTGAATTCCCTCGCATATTTTTCAGCTGCTTTTTGGTCCGAACTGGCAGCCTCACCATGCCTAATCACACTATGTATGCTACTACGATTCTTAAATCTTTCAAACCAACCTTTGCTGGCCTTAAATTCACACACATCAGCACTAGTTGCAGGCAATTTCTTTACCAAATCGTCATGCAACTGCCTAGCCTTTTCACAAATGATCGCTTGAGAGATGCTATCTCCTGCTATCTGTTTTTCATTTATCCACACCAGTAACAGTCTCTCAACATTTTCTAACACTTGCGGTCGCTGTTTCATAATCACAGTTGCACCTTTTGCTGTTTTCCTGGTCACTATAGTAGAGATGGTTGATTGGGGTTTACTATACAACCTGACCAGCTCCGACACACGCACTCCACTTTTGTACTTTGCAATTATCTCTTTCTTCATTTCAATAGTTATTAGCACCTTTTTTCTTGAAGGGTTGGCACTAGAAGCTTTCTTGGGGCCCATGGTGACTTATTTTGCAGAAACAAGCACCAAACACAGTGATAATATGGATAATATGGAATGTAACGAATGTATCCTTAGATGCGTGCACACTGGCTGGCTTGTAAACACTGGCACACAAGGGGCAGTTCAGGCCACATGTGGACAGGTCTCGTACGAATCGTATCGAATACCGGGTTTTCAATCGAATACCAAGGAAAATTTTTTGCGATATAATGCATCGAATACCGGATTTATCGAATACCGATGCCATCGAATACCGGGGGTCCACTGTATATCAATCATCATACTCACAGAAACCTGGCTTAAGCCTCCTACTACAGATGTTTATACCATTCCTGGCTAAATGGCCATACACAACTGTAGAACAGACCAGCAATGGGAAGGAACAGCTATATACTACTCAAATCAACTCGAATGTATCAATAAATCTTGCACAAGGGACGAACATGGAGAATATATCGTAGTTAAATTTAAACCAAAAGACCTGCAAAAACCCCTCACAGCTATAAACATCTACAGAGTACCACAGTCAAACATTTACCACTTTAGTGAAAAGCTAGGAAACATGATTACTGATGCACACATGAATAAAGACCACCTACTACTAATAAAGACCACCTACTACTAACAGGAGATTTCAACATAAACATACTGCACGACCAGGACCCACAAGTAACTGAATTCACAAACACAATGAGTAACTGCCTGTTGCTACCAGCAATATTTAAACCTACAAGAATCACCAAGACAAGCATCTCCTTAATAGACCACATCTGGACAAACACCATATCCCCTTTAAAATCAGGCATAATCACAGACAACACTACAGACCACTACCCAACCTTTCTCATAACTAATCTGGGCAAACTGCCACAAGACATTACTAAAGTAACCGTCTGACTACATAACGAGACAGCAATTAACAACTTTATAGCAGCTATGAATAACATCGATTGGCAAAATGAGCTCGAAACATATACAGATATGAATGAATGTATAAATAATTTTCTAAAAAAAGCCCAAAGCCTCTATAACAAACATTGCCCCCAAAAAATTAAACAGATCACAGCAAAGAGACTGAATAATCCCTGGCTAACACCAAGCATCCTCAAATCCATTAACACAAAGCACAAATATGAAAATCAGTATAGAATGGGTCAAATAACTAGACTTACTTGCTACACTGTAAATACTACACTTTATCTCTGGCTGGCACTATAGCCTTTATCGACTCCTGCTGCTTTAGCATCGTACATATCGTAGAATCACTGAAGAAGGTACATTCTACCCTGTCTCTTCCTCCTCCATTTTCGTACTTTGCTACAATTTCTTTCTTCAATTCTATTGTGTTTCTCACTTTCTTTACCAAAGGGCTGGCACTAGAAAGTTTCTTTGGGCCCATGGTTAATTATGTAGCAGTCACACTCAATCAACAAGCACAAAAAACAATGGATTACCGTGAAATGTTTGGATGAAAGTGCAAGGTAATCTTCACTCCAAGAGAAACAAAGCCGGACTGACTTAAAACGCATGCATGGTATGCTTTGTGTGGGTGTGGGCAGGCAGACAGGTCTGGTACAGTGGCCAAAACTCAAGGTACTGTTCGAAACTCAAGACAAAATTTAGCCGAAAAAAGTGGCCGAAACTCAAAATGGCCAAAACTTGGGGCGGCCAAAACTCGAGGTTCCACAGTATTATCAAAGTACATAATTCTCAGTTTATGTTTTAACACAAACACTTTATCCACCTTGTTTCTTTGCAGTCATACTTAATGTCTTCCCCCATAATCGTTCAATAACAATTTTGCCATCTAACCATTTTTTTTTTTTCAAAATATGCATAATAAAGTACAGTTGAATATTTCAACCAGCAACTTAATTTCTTTAAAATCAAGGTTTCTTTTGTATGTGGTTACACTGTATAATTAGCAAAAATATATAAAAAAAAACATGGAATATATTCTCATTTTTTCTTCTCAGGACTGCCTGTACCATCATCCAGTGCACAAAATCTCCTTCATCGCTCAGGATATGACAGATACTCGAGCTTTTGGCTATATCTTTGGTTCCCCTGATGCTGGTCACAAATTTTTTGGCATCAAGACAGAGAAGGCAGCAAGCCAGGTGGTCATAGCCATGCGAGATCTGTTCCAGGTAAGACCAGTAGGTGCTCTCTTGCTGCAGAGACACATTACAGTATTGTACATGGTTTTGATGGTACATTTCATATGATGCACTGAAGGTTTATATTACTTATAAGTGTACACTGGTGTCTTGTATTGCATGAACTTCAAGCAAAGCTGATAAATAGCATGAATATCAAGCATTTACCCCATATTGCACTTTAACGATAATTAAATATGTGTAGTCTTAATATAGGAAGAGAGGTGAGTAGTATTTATTTGTAGGAAGTCAGTGTAGGTAGCCGGTAGGTGTAGCACCTGGGCTACACCTACCTACACTGTGTCCCAGAGCCATATTATTAACATCGACATGCCTTGTCCACTGAATTTAATCATTTCTGACAACTACCTTTAGATGCCATCATAAACGAAGGTAGAAGTAATGAATAATTCATGCCGAAAATTGTAAACAAAAGCGGAGTGAGGGAGTGGCTGGGCCAAACGCAGATTCATACATGTTTTCTCTGATGGCTGAGCAGAGAAAACATAATGTTGTCCCTCCACCCGGCTACCACGCAGCTCCAAAAGTATTATTATCAGAGCATATAAAATATGGAATAAATGCCAGACAACAAGTTTACACTAACTTGTATTAAGTTAGCAATAGAAATAGGCATTAAAAACACAATAAAAGGTAAGATACACACAGAGCACACTTATTACTTACCTTAAAATATTAATATTAATGTGTGAGAGGTGAATGGCAGGGTGTTTATTGAATAAAATCAGAATGGAACACCATCATCCTCTAACTTGGCACTTAAAGCAAGAGGCTTACGACTTCTCTTTTTATCACAGCTAACCTTAGACGCCATCGTCAATGAGAGCCAACTAGTTAACGAAAGAGTAAACGAAAAAGAGAACAAGATATAGAGTTGAGACAATGTAAGAACACAAACTGAACAGGTAGTGGACTATCACTTGGTCGGCGAAATAAATGAGTATTAATATGTGTCTACTTTTAGTTCATCCACGTTCATTTGTAAGAGTTTGTAAAACATTTACATCAATATTTTTTTTATTATAATAATTGCCTCACAATACAAATACTCTTACATTGTGTATAAGTTGTACAAGTTAGTTCAGAATAAACAAACAGCAACACACCATTTTTAGAGTGAATGAAGATAATAATAATAATAATATAATAATAATAATAATAATAATAATATTAATATTATTATTATTATTATTATAAAAAGCACTAAACCCACAAGGGTCGTGAATTGCTATATATAGAGTAAAGGCATACGAAAAGAATATTTTTCTACAGTTATCCCCCAGTTTGACTAGAGAAAACGTAATTCTTCTGACACTACCTACACAGCTGCTTGGTAAACAAATATCATATTTACGTCAATTTTTATTCTGTAAGTGTATGTATCATGTTTATATGCTGTGTAATGGGTTTCATATATAATTCTGAGGAAAATATCATAGATGGATTAATGAAAATGCCTATATTGATGTAAAATAAGACATTTAGTGTGCCAAAGAGTGGTTATTATTACGTAGTATTGGCATCATGAGTAGAGAGAGACAGCGATTTTAATGTGTGCCTGCACACCAGCACAGTGTGTAAGTATATTTAAGTACAGGTACACTTAAGCATAATTATCAGAGTACATATAAAATATGCAGTAACTTTAAAACACTAGAACTTTTGGAAAGTTTCCTGACATAATAGATGAGGTCAGGGAAAATGTAAACAAACCGGGTGGGGGCACCGAATTTGAAAGACTGCTTGCCGTATAGCAAATTTTGGTCATAATTTGACATCGCCGTATTAGCGGAACGCTGTAAGGCGAAACGCCATAAAGCGGGGCCTTACTGTATAGTGGAAGGAAGGCGGGGTAGGGGTCGGCCTAGGAAAGGTTGGAGGGAGTGGGTAAAGGAGGTTTTGTGTGCGAGGGGCTTGGACTTCCAGCAGGCATGCGTGAGTGTGTTTGATAGGAGTGAATGGAGACAAATGGTTTTTAATACTTGACGTGCTGTTGGAGTGTGAGCAAAGTAACATTTATGAAGGGATTCAGGGAAACCGGCAGGCCGGACTTGAGTCCTGGAGATGGGAAGTACAGTGCCTGCACTCTGAAAGAGGGGTGTTAATGTTGCAGTTTAGAAACTGTAGTGTGAAGCACCCTTCTGGCAAGACAGTGATGAAGTGAATGATGGTGAAAGTTATTCTTTTTCGGGCCACCCTGCCTTGGTGGGAATCGGCCAGTGTGTTAATAAAAAATAATAATATATATATATACAGTGGACCCCCGGTTAACGATATTTTTTCACTCCAGAAGTATGTTCAGGTGCCAGTACTGACCGAATTTGTTCCCATAAGGAATATTGTGAAGTAGATTAGGCCATTTCAGACCCCCAAACATACACGTACAAACGCACTTACATAAATACACTTACATAATTGGTCGCATTCCAAGGTGATCGTTATGCGGGGGTCCACTGTATATATATATATA